AGCCGCAGTACCCAGAGAGAACCCACGCATTCACAGGGAGAACATGCAAACTCCATGCAGAAAGATCCCAGGCTGGGAAGCGAACCCAGGACCTTCTTGCTGCAAGTCAAATGCTCTAACCACTGCGCAGCCTGCTTGAACCAATTCTTTTTACTATATATATATATATATATATATATATATATATATATATATATATGCTTCCAATTGGTAAAATCATTAGACAGCATGGGATAAACTTCCACTGTTATATGTTGTATTTATCCATTAACCCTGATGAACCTAATTGGTTAGGTAGATTACAGGCTTGTCTTGAAGACAAAAAAATTGGATGACTCCAAACTTTCTGCTTTTAATTCAAGACAAGACTGAAGTTCTCATTTTTGGCCTGGAACTTCAGAAAAGGAAATTGCTTAGTCAATCACCTGACCTGAATGGCGTTAAATTAGTCTCAGCGAACAAAGTAAGGAATCTTGGCGTTATCTTTGACCAGAACATGCCATTCAAATCCCATGTTTAACAGGTTTGTAGGATTTCCTTTTTCCACCTTCGGAATATGGCGAAGCTAAGAATCATTCCAGGAGTGATGCTGAAAAACTAGTTCATGCATTCATTACATGAAGACTGGATTACTGTAATTCATTACTCTCAGGAAGTCCACAGAATGTAGTTAAAAGTCTTCAGCTTGCCCAAAATGCTGCAGCTAGAGTTCTGATGAGAATTAAAAAGAGAGATCATATCTGTCCTGTCTTAGCTTCCCTACATTGGCTGCCTGTTAAATTCAGATTTGATTTTAAGATCATCCTTCTCTCATATAAAGCTCTTAATAATCAAGCTCCATCATACATCAGTGACCTGATTGTTCCATGTGTTCCTAACCGAGCACTTCGCTCTCAGACTGCAGGTTTACTGGTGGTTCCAAGAATATGTAAAAGTAGGATGAGAGGCAGATCTTTTAGCTATCAGGCTCCGCTTCCCAACTTTATTCAATTCAATTAAATTCAAAAATACTTTATTAATCCCAGAGGGAAATTCAATTGTTTCAGTACAGACAATTCCAAGATCAGACATACATACAAAGACACATGACAAGAATTGCTGACTGTGGTCATTCGCAACACGAGTCGCGCTACCGTTATAGATAGATCAAGAGGGTTTATATGAGGAAAGAGTCAGGGGGAGGGAAAAAAGGCACTTCAGAGTTACCCCCAACAGAGAGGATAGATTTGCTATGCCAAAAAACACCTCAGACAAATATGCACACAGACTTCAGACGACACACAACATGAGTCTCCACTAGGTGGGGATGGAGGGTTCTGGGACTGTCCTCACTTCAGAGTTAGCAGCCGCAACCAGCGCTCACCACCTCTGTTTGGACAGGGGAGGGAGATTATTGGGTTTAGAGAGCAAATTGACTCCTAGAGACGGTTCCACGGCCTTCACCGGTCACAGTCCCGCCCAGGCTGGGATGGGGAGAAAGAGTTTCCATAGCAACAGCAGCATTCCACATTTCCTCTGAGGGTAGTTTACACTTCAGCCTCACAGGCTTCAAGTGTACCAGATTCAGATAGCAAGAATTGTTTTGGGTACAGGCAGAGAAAATTTCCTCTCTGCCTTAGAGTTCTGTCTGTCTTCAACCCCTCGAGATCCAATAATGGCATTATCAAACTATTCCAATTCGTGCTGATCTGTCAACTCTCTCCTTGATCAAATCCACCTTCTGTGCCAGAGCCTGAATCTCAGCCAAAGTTCCAAGCTTACGACTCATTTCGACAGTTATCTGAGTCTGTGAGTTAACAGCACGATGCATTCCATCCCTGAGCTCCGGGATTAAGCCAATATTCCTTGAAAGCTCGTTAATTTTCCGGTATGCCAGGTAACCACTCAGGCCACCAGCAGAAATCCTGGCACCAAAACGATGAATATCCAGGCATCTTCAGAATCCTCTACAGACAGTTGAGACAGGCAGATCAGATTCCACTGTTTCCAGGAGTCCATGATATACCCAGCTGGCTCTGTTCCAGAGGGGCATCCAGGAGCCCCTTCTCCCTTTCTCATCATTGAAAAGATTTTGTCAATCACATTGAAAGACCAACTGACCAGATCCATGATTAATAATTTCCAGTTTCCAGAAAAAATGCAGAAAGCGCAGAGCACAGGCAGACAGGACACAAAGAGCCTTGGGAAAAGCAGGGAGGGAGAGGAGAAAAAAGCGTCTGTACTCTCCAAGAGCCGTTGGTGGAGTCTGTGAGGCAGACCCCTTGTCTGTTTAATACTGATGTTAGCCCAGTTTTGGACAAGTGGGGGAGGTAGAGTGTACAGCGGGGATTACAGTCAGCAAAAACAGCTCTCCCTTCCCTGCCTCCAACATGCCTCCATCTAAAAGGCTAGAGTTATCTCTGTAGTTATGCTGCTATAGGCTTAGACTGCTCAAGGACATACTGACCACTTTACATAAACTTTTTTTTCTCTCTAAGTGTTTTCCTCCCCAGAAGAAGCTACAATGGTGTTCTGGTGAGCTGTGGTAGCCTCATGGAGGGGGCCATCGGCTTGAACACTGCTGCTAACAACTTAAACATTCTCCCTCTTCTGATAACATTTTACTTTCTTTGACATGGAATATACTAGTTTACTTTATTAGTTTTTGAATCAATTATAGATTCACTTAGATTAAGACATTAAAGTTTATCTCTTACTAAATAGAATATTTACTAAGAAATTCCATTGAAGCCATGGAAACACTACTTAGTATGTTATGTGGGTGCCTGGGTGTGGGGATGTGAGGGGGGTTTCTTCTGGCCCAAGTGGACTCTTTTGAGAGTTTTTATCCTTTCTAGGCATGAGGAAAGCTTCAGGACCAAACAAAGCTGCTGAAACTTTTTACAGCTCATAATAAACCGAAATATCTAGAATGTTGTGTAGAATGTTGATTTTTGTTAGAAGCACAAATTAGATGCCTACATTAAAGCCAAGGAGTTAGTAAAAAACTCCTGTACTTGTTTCTATCTACGCATGCATTAAGTGAATTATTTTGTTTCAGATGAGTTTCACAGCATTCAACAGAAGATCTCATTCTAGCTGCCAACTCTATTCATGCAAAAGCCCCAAAGAGGCTGCTTCACAAAACAACATATTGAGATAACACACTGAATATGAAGCTGTGAACATAAGATCTGTGAAAGTTGGTTTCTTCTTCATAATGCGTCTTCTCAGCTTCTTAACACAATTTTTCTGTTTGAATCTTCTGAAAATGACGCACAAGGAGGCTTGATCTCCTGTTTGTAGCTTTAGGTGCCACAAAGTCTTAATTTTAAGATGAATAAATTGTCCAATGTTGTATATTATCAGACACACAGTGCTTTGCTGTAACTGTTGTGTGGGACAAAACAAAAAGAGTTTGATTCTTTTTAGTGCATTTGGTCAAACTGTGTCCTCTTTGTGCAAACTAGAGAGGAGCACTTTGAATCGGCCAAGTCACATATTTATCTGTTCTGCAAAAGTCAACATCCAGAGCACAGCCATGTCTGTGAGCTAAATAAATACAGAGTGGATCCAGGCTTTCACCCTGTGCCAGGTTGATTGTTTGCTAAACACTACCCTCTAGTGTTCACACACAAAAACACCAACTCAGATTCTAGTTGGAAGGAATACAAATTTGCAGAGTTAAACGGTTTCAGATCAGAGTTCTAACATTAAACAAGATAGCTTATGTAAATTTTTTTAATAATACACTCTGTGCTTAAACTGTCCTCTTCTATAATAACGTGTCACTTTGGTAATGTAATAAGAGCTTTGATTAATTTTTGTGCACACAGCATGGAGCGATTGGGCCGAACATGGCCGTGGTTTTACAGTCAGCTCCTCTCAGACGAGTTTTAATCTGGATCATATAGTCCACCTAATGAGGCGTGCTGCAATTACTGAGTGGTCCATGCTTTCTCCTCCCATCCTCCTCCTCCTCCTCCTTCCAATGAGCAGATCAGTCTCTGATGTACCCCCACCTTGGCTGATGTAACCTCATTTCCACACAAGGTCAGTGTGCCCTGGTCTCTCGTATGACCATGATGTGACACGGATGTTGCCACAGCAGATTTACCTGTCATCTTTTCAAAAGATGAAACATATTGTCGCTGTAATAATTAGACTCATCCTGAATTGGCTTCTGATGTCTTTTCTTGCAATTCAGCACCATCTGGCTAAATTGGTGCAGGCAGGAGCTGAAAGTTGTTACGACGAGCGGTCTTTGGTTAAGATGGAATCATTGCTTTTGGCAGGTGGCATGTCCCGTTAGAAATGAGTGAGCTTGGTTAATGTTACCACTCACAAAGTAATACTGCTGCTGTCAGACTTTAAAACCATGTGTAAGGAACCAGGTTTAAACATTTCTCTGTTCTGGCAAACTGTGTCAGGGCGCTGAACTCTGAGGGCTTTGTGGTGTCGCTGTGTTCTGTGCAAACAACCTCGTCGGGTCAGAGCATCCAACAAACAGAACATGTCACACAGTCCTGCCAAGCGTCCGTCTCTTCCAGCAGGAATCCTCAAAAAATGTGCACAGGACCCAGTTTGTAGCTCCAAAACTAACACTAGTGGGATATTTAGATCATAACAGGACCTGCTAACAAAGATTCGCCAAACTGGCAGGTGGAGCAGAAAAGCCTGCCAGACATTTGGATTCTGTTTTGTTCTGTTGAAAATCTGTTCTTTTTTTTCTGTGTGCATATTATGAGAAGAAATTGTGATTTGCACAGAAAAAATGGTGCAAACTGATTTCTGTATGGGGAAAATCCAGAAAAACTAAAACTAATTGTGCTTCAGTTTTAGCTGGCTCTTTAGATTTCTATCATTTTGCAGATTTTATGACTCGATGCAATATTTTTCAGGGATTTCATCATCTTCTGTGCATCATTGTTGCAAATCGGCAGATTTCACAAAATTGGTGATTTTACAATTATTTCATCAATGGAAAACCCCAAAAGTTGAAATAAATCAAAAGAAAAAAATGCTTTTTCTTAAATCTGAATTTTATTTTTGGAAGATTTTTTTAACATAATTTGTAATACAAGTATGCATTTACACCATTTGTTCTTACACAGCAGTGTTGACACATTAACAAGGTCTCAGATGAATAAATCTAAACATTTTCAGCTCTGAGAGATTATTACGATGCTTTACTACTGCAGGTGTTTCCTCAGCGATGGCACGTCGAATGTCTGGCTCCGTGTGGATCTGGCCGTGTTTCTGCAACACAAAATGTATTTTAGACAGAAAGCACAACTGGCACAGCTCCTTGGTTTTTGTTCAGCTCTCATCTGCTTTTCATAAACACACAATTTCATTAAAAAATACAGCAAAACGGCTCACAGAAGCATTCAGTCGAGCTCAGTCAAACCACTCAGGATTACTCACGTTTTAAGCCATCGAAGTCTAAGACACTGAAGATGTGATGTTTTTCAGATACTCCTGGAACTGGACAGATGGTCTGGGGAAATGCACGGCCTCACGGTACATGGTGTACTTTTAACACAAGAGAAGAAGAAGAGGAATGGATCCTTGTGGGTAAAAAAGTTCTGAGAGCATTTAAAGATTCAACAACAGTGAGGGGGTTTAGAGTTTGAGATACCTCTGGGAATTCAACCTTCACATTGCAGCTGTCCTTTGAGGCAACAACAATGGATGCAGAAACTTCTTGTTTGTTGTTTTCCTCGTTTTCCCTATAGAATCCATAAAGGAAAGCCATGCCAGGGATGTATCTTTCAATTCTGGAGAAAAAAAGCAAACAATTTCTAAGTAAAACTCAATAATTTGTTTGGTTCAACATCCCTCTTTTATTAATCACATTTTGTACGATGATTTCTGCCGAACATCACCTTCGGCTGATTTCCTCCATGTATTCTGGGAGCTTGGTCCATTGTGCTTTGACTTCGACCTTTGGCTTGGTAGTATTTAATTCTGCAGCAGCTAGCATTGACATGTCATAGGTCTGACACTCAGCTCCCCATCTAACGTGAGTCTGAAGCAAAAGAAAAGACAAAGAAGATGAAAACAATTAAAACTAATGACAGTGAGAAAGTATGTTTCCTCACACCAACCTTTGCCTTGACGCGAGCGTCTAAACTGGTGTCGAGGCACAGCTTCCAGTTGGTGTTGGCTCCAACTTGGGAGACAATTAGCTGGGCATTTTGAGCATTCGCCTCGGGTGTATAGTACACAGCTACATCATAACCCTCGGGCTTCTGGTTCTGACTCTCAGCAAAGACTTTGAAATTGAAGACAGCTTCAGGTGCTGCAGCCTGAGGAGTGAGAAGGAAACCAGGCTGTTATGCATCTTCACAAATGGAACAGCGATGGCGGAGAAAGAACCTTTCTGTGTTTAGCATACATCCATCCTGATGTTCTGGTCTCTCTGTGATTTTCTCTGACTTGAAGATGAATCTGAAGACATGTTCATTTTCTCCATTGCTTCCTGTAAACAAGATTTAGGAACAACCTTTAATGTACTCAAACACCAGCACAGGTGCTGTGATGATTACGTTGAACAAGTAGACAAATACCTTGGAAAGGCTCCTCAGATTCTGAAGCAGCTGGTGTGCATTCATCAGATGTGAGCTGGGACCGGCGGTTACCTCTAAGTGGATTTTGTCAACAGGTTTGACTGTCTGGACTGAGAAAATCACATCGAACAACGTTAACAAAGGGATTTTTGAGACGTATAGCGCTTAAAGAAACACCTGCAAAATTTGAGTGTTGATAGGGCCGAGTGTTTTTGCAGTACTTATCCAGAGTAGGATTATTGCAAAGTTTCTGTGTTTTGGTTTAAACTAATCTGATGTATTCAAGTCAAAACCAATAAAGCCACCAAATATTGCAAAGCCTGCGTAACTTTTTCAAATATATGTATATATATATATTTCTTTTTTCTTCTTCTTCCGGTTCTTGGAGAGTACAGATGCTTTTTTTTCTCCTCTCCCTCCTCCTCCCAAGGCTCTCTGTCCTGTGTGCATGTGCTCTGCGCTTTCTGCATTTTTTCTGGAAACTGAAAATGATTAAAAATGGATCTGGTCAGTTGGTCTCTCAACGCGATTGATAACATTTTTTCAACGATGAGAACGGGAGAAGGGGCTCCTGGATGCCCCTCTGGAACAGAGCCAGCTGGGTATATCATGGACTCCTGGAAACAGTGGAACCTGCTCTGTCTGTCTCAACTGTCTGTAGAGGATTCTGAAGATGTCTGGATATTCGTCGTTTTGGTGCCAGGATTCCTGCTGTTTGGCCTGTGTGGTTACCTGGCACACCGGAAAATTAACGAGCTTTCGAGGAATATTGGCTTAATCCCGGAGCTCAGGGATGGAATGCATCGCGCTGTGAACTCACAAACTCATATAATTGTTGAGATGAGTCGTAAGCTTGGAACTTTGGCTAAAATTCAGGCTCTGGCACAGAAGGTGGATTCGATTGAGAGAGTTGACGGATCAGCACGGATTGGAATAGATTGATAATGCCATTATTGGACCTGGAGGGGTTGAAGACCAACAGAACTCTAAGGCAGAGAGGAAGTTATCTCTGTCTGTACCCAAAACAATTCTTATCTGAATCTGGTGCCCTTGAAGCCTGAAAGGCCGAAGTGAAAACTCCCCCTCAGAAGAAATGTGGAATGCTGCCATTGCTATGGAAACCCTTTCTCCCTATCCCAGCCTGGGCGGGACTGTGACCAGTGAAGGCCGTGGAACCGTATCTATGAGTCACTGTGCTCTCTAACCCATTATCTCCCTCCCCTGTCCAAACGGAGGTGGTGAGCACTGCTCTTGCGGCTGCACACCCTGAAGTGAGGAGAGTCCCAACCCTAACTCCCCACCTAGTGGGCACTTATGTTGTCTTTTTTTCCCTCCCTCCCGACTCTATCCTCATATAAACCCTCTTGATCTATAACGGTAGCGCGACTCGTGTTGCGAATGACCACAGTCACCAGTTCTTGTCATGTGTCTATGTATGTATGTACGTACGTCTGATCTCAGAATTGTATGTATGTATATATATATATATATATATATATATATATATATATATATATATATATATATATATATATATAAATATATATATATATATATATATTTATTTATTATTATTAAAACAGTTTTTTGTAAAATGTAAACTTGGTTTCAGTGGCTCCTATTTCTTTGTTGCCTTTCCAACAAAGATCTGCATACACCAAGAAGAATATTTTCATGAAAACGGAAAACGTATAATGCAAAATTCCCTTTTTGCATCATTTTCTGCAGGTGGTTCTTTGCTGCTGCCATAAACACTCCAAACATGAACCAACCCATCCATCTGTTTTCTTAGTGTTTGGTTTTAGGAATGATTCATCTAAATCAAGCTTTTTCAAAAGGTCCCCATTTGTGATGTCACAAACGAGGTTAGTAGGATAGGAGAGAGAACTCTGCTGGAGCAGCAGCAGTTCCACTTTGAGCCTCACCTGGATATTCGAGCTTCTTAGCTTATAGCAGCCTGAGTGGGGAGGGGTGGGCATAACCAGCTCCAGCTTGCTAATTTAAAGTGACAGAGCCCTGAAATGGCTCATTTTGGAAGGTACTGAACATTTTCAAGATTTTAACTGCTAAAATCTCTGTATGTGATTTTGTACCAAACACTTAATACACATGTCTCGTATTGACCATCGTACTATTATAACTTAGGAAAAAGGTTTATATGTCCCCCCTTAGGTCCCTGACAAAAGCTGTTTAAGAAATAATGTGCACCATTAAATTAGATGTTAAAAGGACAATTTCAAATGGATATGTTTTCAATTTCTTCTGCTAATTATTTGTCCACTGCTTCTTGAAACAGCATGAAGGTGTTTGTAAATGTTACGGTAAATATCATGTCTGTTGCTGTAAAACGAGTTAACAAAATATACTTTAATTTCTATAGTTTTGAGCTCATTTTGGTTTAATTTACTACACTGGAAACACAGAATCACTTACAGTTGCTGAATATGTATATTCCTAATCAGATCTGTGGCTTTGCCTTTGCAATATTCACACAAACACACCTGGAACGACTTTAACCGCCATGTCAGTGTATCCCAGGAAGTAGTACAGGGGGTATTCGTCATGGTAATACTCCCTCTTCAGCTCATACTCTGCACACACACCCACTCCGTAGGAATTACTCTCTGCACACAGCTTAGAGGACGGATGCCAGATGTTGGAAGTCCTGCTCTGTTGGAGCGCGAAAGAGCACTAAGATGTTAACCTGTTTTCAGTCAGTTGAGTAAAGAGTAGAATTAACTTTTAATTTACTTCAGTGGGGTCAGAGGTCAGCATTATTGGTGTTGCTTTGGCCAAATCTGGCTCTTCAATGTTCCTGGAGACTGCATTCACATCAGACCTGCGTATGAAAAAATGACAGATTTGTTTCTTGTTTAATGCTGGTTGCATCTGACATCATGTAACGTAGAATTAGTGGCACTACCTCATTGAAAACAGTTCAATCTCTCCCTTGCAAGTGGGGAAGTCGAGCTCAAATCTCTTTTCTGCAACATTGATATTGGCTGTAAACTTCCATGGAACAGCAGTGGAAACTTTGCTCTTGAACTCAGAGCCACACTGGAACAGATCCGTGTTGATTCCATAGAAAACCCAGAAGTCCTTTGTGTTTCTATAAAGGAAAATTCAGTGCAGGTCAAAACTGAAAGACTTGAGGGCCAAAATACAGGTGTATAACAAAGTTTAAAGAACGAACAAAAAGCAGGAGTGTGTGACATCTGCTTTGAAGCTTTGTGGTTGTTTTAAACCTCACTGGAAATACTTGGTATGTTTCACCTTTATACTCTAATAAAAAAAGATATATGTCCTTTGATTTGGTGAATAGGTAAAATAATCCAATAATATTTTTTTCAGTAACAGCTGGTAAATTATAAAGGTGAACTAGGCAATTTTGGCTTGCTTTTAGCTTTAGTGTTTGTTTGTAGTGTGCGTTCGTCCTTTTAACATCTTGATCTAACAGCTGAAATGTATCCCCAGCTTTTTTTTTTGTGTCTACAGGAGTAATTCCTCACTAAATTGAACAAATCAGCTGTGTTCATGATCTAAAACATGCAGAAAACATGCTGGAAGCAGACTGCAGCGCCAGGTATGTCGGCTCAATTCTTTCCAAGTCCCAATAGAGCAGCCAGCCAGTCTGAAGTTGCAAGTGGAGTTTTCTGGCCACAGGGGGCGACAGGGGCTTGGTGGCCTTTCAATAACCCCGTAAAGGATAATTTTAGCACGTACTGGCTCAAGAACACGGTTAAAAAATATGAAAAAGTTGCAAAGTATCCCTTTGAATTAATCCATAATAAGTCAATAGAATGACTTGATGTGAATATCTGTTTATTTAACAGTAAGATTTCTGAAAGTCTGGGTTTGTTCAATAAAGTTTGTCATCAAATAAAGACAAAACATGTCTGCAGTTCTCAGAAATAGAGATGTCAATGCTCAATGGGCTGGAAAATGTTACAAAGCAGTCTCTGAAGGAATGAACAGCTGGAGTGTTCGGCTTTGTGAGAAGAAAAGAAAAGTGTGACGACTCAAAGCCTCTGTTAGCCTCTCAGAGAGAAGTGGACCGATGACAAACATCAAAACAACGAAAAGTCCTCTGAAAGTTTTGATCAAATATTAAACAATCATGAGCTTTTTTAAAGTTCATCATGTTAGAAACGACTAAATATAATTAGTTGTTGGTGTGCATTTTTTTCTTTTTTCTTTTTTTAAAAGAAAATGAGAACAATTACCCAGCAAAAGCTTCTGTTTCCAGTGAAATCTCAGAACTGAGGAGCTGTGCAAGCTGTTCGGTTGGTTGTGGGCTTATGGTGGCTTTGGCTAGAAAACAAACATAAAAACATCGGTTTAGCTGAAAACCCCCACATAAAGTCTAATCAAAAATATGTTTTTTGTAGTGTCTGGATTCCTCACCTTTAACTGCTACAGCAGTAAGAGCATTGTAATATTTGCTAATCTCCACAGGCAGACCCAGAGACGTGGCTTGGGCGTGACGAGCCTCAAGGATCAAGAACGACCGTGTGAAGTGCCAAGAAGCTCCTCCCAGCAAGTTCTCCATCACAGCCCACAGAAGACTTGATCTCCCTGCAGCAGGACTCAGTGCCTGCAACAATCAACATGGTTTAGTGCAGAAGTTTTTAACAATGCTGAAGAACCAGCCTGTTGTGGTTTTGTTTCTAACCGTGATGATGTTGCGGATGGTCTCCTTGGTGATGTCAGCGTAGAACCACTCCTGACCGGTGGCCCGAGAATACGCTGAAACAACCGGCTCATCGTCTTGCATTTTCTCCCAGTTTTGAAGCTGGGAATGAGGCAAAGTGTCGGTCACCTAGAAAATTATTCTTTCTAGTAAAATGTGAGGTTTCTCACATACCACTCTGAAAACAGCCTTAAGGTCGTCAAAGCTGAAGTCTCCTTTAAATCCGGGAATGCTTGTTCCAAACAGATCCTTAAGTCCGTCAACACGGATTCCCAACTTCATGGAAACAAAAAGAGAATATCGTTTTTGATTGGGCCATGTTATTTACACACATCATTGGCAATTAACAAATGGCTTTACCTCCATCAGTTGGATGATTCTACCGATGATGTGGAACTTTCCCTTTGCCATGATCTCAGTGGGAAGTATGTGGTTTGCACTTTTCAGCATGAAGAACTCAGATGCTGCACCAACTAGGAATTTATCTGTGTGGAATAACATTAGTATGACCAACTTTTCAAATGGATCGTGCTTTTAAAAGCAAAGCAGTCCCAGCTGTGGTTTAACCTACCACTGAACCAGTCTGCGTGCCTCGCTTTGCTGTAGTTATAGCTGAAACGAGCAAACCTAGGAGCGAGGATTTTCATAGCTACACTGGAAGCAGTTGAGCTAATGGATCAAACAAATGCAGATTATATTTAGCTTAGGATTCATCCTCAAATCCAGCTTTCCGTCACTGTTCTACTTACAGGAAGTGATTGTCTGGAGTCCAGGATCTGGCAAGGCCTTGGAGGTAAGAGTATGCAAAGCTACCAACATGAAGGTCTTCTTCATCCAGCAGATGCATTGTCACCGTGGAGACGACAGCCATCGAAGGCTTGGTGTCAAAAAGGATCATGAAGGCCAACATGCGGATCTCTGCTGAAAGTTTCTTTTGCAGGAGCAGGCTCATGGTGATGTCTTGGACCTGAAAGTAAAAAACGCTCCAAAAATTAAGCCCTGAAACAAAATAGAGTAACTGATTCATTGTGTTATTATTTAAAGGGAAACGGGGACATTTAGCATAGAGTCATAAAAACACAGAATCTTAAACTTAAAAGGTATTTTATCTCCATAAGTAAGGTAGCGTGTCTTGTGTCTTACAGTGTGAGGGTCTCTGACTGCAATCAGTCTCATTGCCTGTACCGCTGCACTCTCAACATGAAGAGGCAGATCCACAGGGGTGGCAGCAACTCCAGGAAGGAAACGTATGATTGTCTTAATGCTCCCAGGATGACCCGCGTTCCCCAGGGCTTTCAGAGCGAGGACCATTTCGTCCTTTTCACCTCTCCTCAGAGCATCAGTGGCCATGTCCAGCAGTGGCTACAGCCAACAGAAAAACACATGTTTGGCCTGCTTTTGGATTATGCATCACATTGTAATGTTTGATACTGAACAGTTTTAGGCCTTGAAGAACAAATTAATAAATGAATGGTAGCAGTTTCTCTTTATCATTGGAAAATTATTTTACAGCATTTATAAAAGATGAAATTGATATTTCTTTGTGGATTGACAACCTGAACAGCGGTCACTGGACATGGTGTGTAATATGCACAGTGCTTGTAGACCAGAGAGCCATAGGAGAGAACCACAGTGTGCCACAGATAGGTGTTGGATTTGCTGAATGGCATTTTCAGGAAGGCCTGCACACAAAAACCAGAAACAAGTTGACTACAGCCTTTAGGTTGTGCTCCATTTTAACGACTAACTCACTTTGGCCTTCTCCACCAGCTCTGGAGTCGCCTGCAGATGCTCAATAGTCATCAAAAAGGTTTGCCAGGCTTCAGTTGGAGACAGATCTCTTGCCTGGAACCGGCTTTCCAGGAATCTCAGGACTTTGGCATCACCAATTTCAAAAGTCAGGTCCAGAAACCAGCGCCTAAGAAGTGAAAAAAAGGGTGTGTGAGACAGTCCTCTACGTAGTAAATGTTTTTCCAAAAGGAAAAAAAAAGACCCATTTAATTGCTGTTTTAAATGTAGACTCAAAAACAGGCTGATTTCTGGTCGACGCTTCTGATCAAAGCATCCATGGTACTGACCTAGAATAAATCCTAAAGGAATTAAATGGGATGGATTATTTTAATAAACTAATCAGTAAAAGTAGATCAGTACAGGACTTTGGAGCTGGCCTTGGGCCTCTGTGATACTCATCATCTAATAAAAGCTTGGTGAAAGGTTATCTCTTAAAATAATTTACTGTGAAGCTTTAGTAAAACTCAAACCAGGTACTCAGTTCATCTGGACTTACAAAGGGAGTATTTTATCAAAGCATTACATTTCTATATTATTGAGCGCAAACGTAGCTCAGAAACCTGAAACTTCTATTTGTATAATCTTTAACTATAATTTAAAATGCTACATTAACTGTTTTCTGAAAAAAAAAACTGCCTTTGCTACATTGGATCTACTGGCTGATCATTAATTCCAATTAGATCCAAATCACCATCTAATTTGCAGATGCCTACATACATATGCAAAGTAACATTACCTCAGCAGTCCACTCCCCGATTCTTTAGCATAATATTTTCTGTGTCTTATGTCAGCTTGCCATTAACATCACCATTCTTTGGAGATGTTTATCTTAGTAGCAAAAATAATAAACTTTGAATAGTTTTCCTGCTAACATGTAACAGGACAACTTTAAAGCTGGGCCACATAGTTAACTGTTTCTGTTATTATTTAAAAATGCTTAAACTTGACTATCTAACCATGTTCTATGATAAAGGCCATCTTTCATCCTTTATATTCCCTTGAGTCCCTTCCATGGCCTCTACAGCAAAACAAGTAATTCAGAAGAACCAAGAATATTGACCAACAGAATGTGCCCCGGTCCCTAGCGTGCACAATGGGGTGATGCTGGAAGTCTCAACAGAGCAATCAAAAATATCACTGAACTTACAGATTCTGCTACTGCCTTCTACTTAAAAAAAAAAAAAAAAAAAAAAAGATCCCTAAGGTTCCTTTAGCAAAACGCGCGGTAAGACGTTTACGGCAGTCGAGTAGAACTTACATAGGAGAGGCTTTCAAAAGCTGGAGGGAGCTTTGTGATCTATAATGGCTCCAAACTGATGAAGAGAACATTTCTTCCGGAAAGCTACATGCTAAAACATTTATTGCATTTTAGAGAATTGTAACCCAAATAAAAAAAAAATTGTGTTTATAATTATTTTATGCTCTATTAGCCATGGGCTAATATGGTGCTAGCTTGATTGCTAACCTGACCTTATCTTTTGCTCAGTGGTGATTAGTGAAGCGTTCAACCTTATGCTGCATAGTCCAACTTTACATTACATAGTTTAACCTTATGCTACATTGTTTAATTTTACACTACCTTATGCTACAACATTCAACTTTACACTATATTGTTTAACCTAACGCTACATCGTTTAACCTCATGCAACATAGTTTAACCTTATGCTACAACATTCAACTTTACAATACATTGTTTAACCTTATGCTACATAGTTTAATTTTACACTACATAGTTTAACCTTACGCTACACTGTTTAACCTTATGCAACATAGTTTAACCTTACGCTACAACGTTCAACTTTACACTACATTGTTAAACCTTATGCTACATAATTTAATTTTACACTACATTGTTCAACCTTATGCTACATTTTTTAATTTTGCACTACATAGTTTAACCTTACGCTACATTGGTCACCTTTATGCTACATCTTTTAACCGTACGCTACATAGTTTAACCTTACGCTACAATGTTCAACTTTACGCTACATTTCTTTACACTATGCTACATAGTTTAATATTACACTACATCGTTCAACTTTACGCTACATTGTTCAATTTTACTCTACATACTTTAACCGTATGCTACACTGTTTAATTTTACTCTACATAGTTTCACCTTATGCTACATTGTTCACCTTTACGCAACATCTTTTAACCGTACGCTACTTTGTATAAACTTTTTGATTTTAAAGAAACTCCTGAAGACCCTGCTCTTCAGAGAGCATCTTCTAAACTAGCCCTTTCCCTGCACCCGTCCCCCTCTCTACTGTCCACTCCTTGTTCCCTCCTCTCCATGATTCATCATGCTGCCTCACTGCCACCTTCGACTGACTGGAAATTGTTTGTTGTTGTTGTTGTTATTGTTGTTGTTAGCCTCAAGGGCAACATGCCAATGATCACTTGTAAGTCGCTTTGGACAAAAGCGTCTGCTAAATACATAAACATAAACATGAACTTACTCTACAACGTTCAACTTTACACCACATTGTTTAAGCTGATACTACATTGTTCAACTTTACGCTACATCATTTAACCATATGCTACATCGTTCAACCTGACGCTGCATCATTTAAATAAAAAAAATCACCTCCTCTTCTCCTAGATGACATCACGCTATGGACCACAGCTTTACTACTGAACGTCAACAAATAACTATGTTCTTCTTAGTGGTTCTTGTTCGCACCTGTACTCTGGGTTTTGTGAGAACTGCTTCCACATGAGCTCCAGTTCTTCATAAGGTATCACCTTCATCAACTGGTACACCTTCATAATATCCTCCGTGGTTGTATCAGCAATGCTGTAAAGATTGTCATCAGCCAGATGCTTGATAAGTTCCACAGCCTGTGGAAGGACACATACACAATGTCTGGATTTGCTCTGATAAAAAGGCATTTAATGTGTTTTGCAGTTTACTTCAAAGTGATTAGTTGTTACCACCTTAGGCATGGGGTTGTCCAGGTTCTGCATCATGATGGGAAAATGAACGTCAACATCGGTAAACTTGTAAACAATGTTGCCTTTGCTTTCCATGGGTCCAGATGTGATGGTTCCAACCGTGTCGCTCACACCAAGCAGCTCCAGCTCCTTCCTGCAGGAGATTTTATTTATGCCACCCATAGTGGAATGCACAGACTAAATGTGCATGTGTTTCCCTGAACTTACATGGCTTGCATCTCAAATGTGCCACCCTTCACGTTGAAGGGGCTGAAGAACTGTCGTTCCAGGCCGTGGGCTTTGGTAATGAGACCCCCCTCTGCTGTGGGCTTGACTGTGTAAACATACCTCATGGTGGAAACCACAGACTCCCCTCTCTACATGAGAACATGCAGAAGCAAAGCTGACATTGATCCGTTTCATTTACAATCACTAACTGAGCTACATCTGGGAAAGATAAAGAGATTAAAACCTCTTTGGATAACTTGTCCTCCACAGCAGTGACCATTCCCTTGTGAATTGCTGCTTTCTCTTTGCAGTTGGTGACATCCACAACCTGAGTGATGTTCCACACCTTTGTGTCCTCGTCTTCTTCAATGGCGTAGTTGCTCTGACACTTGCCATGAATTCCATACTGCAAAACAAAGTGAAAACCTCTTATTATCTAAACTTTTACCGATGATGTGTGTTATTATTTGTGGCGATGGATTACCTCCTCCAGCTCATAGATGCTCTGTGTGGTCTTTACAGTCACTTGGAAGAAATTGAGTATTCCTCTCACGATGTTGATGACAGTGGTGGAGGTGTCAGCCGAGGCGTGGATGTCACCGATGTGTCCGCTGGTGTACTCGAACATGAAAGGTTTGGCGAGCTCAGCAGCAATTCTCTTTGTGAGTTTTGGGGAAGCATTGTAGTCGTTTTTCCCCCGGAAGCCATTGTACTCAGCAAACTCTAGATCTGAGATCTTTGAAACAGCAGCAACAATGAAAACATGTCGGGTTTGTGCAACTGGGATGAAGTTTTGGTAGAATCTTCTCAAATGAGTAAAAATGATTAATGACCTGCATTTGAAAAGCGCCTTTCAGAGTGAGAGGACTCCAAAAAGCTTTACAAAAAAATCCCCACACAAACTGCTAGAAATCTTTTTAAAATCTGATATGAAGATAGTGTACTATATAAAAGTGTATATAAATATATATGTTGCGAAGGAAAAACTAGATCTATAATATTTATTATTTTTCTTGGTATGGTCATTGTATGACCTTCCTCAGGATCCACTGATTTCCCTCTTTCCTATCCTCTCTCTCTCTTTCTTAACATTTTTTATCACAGTTGTCTATTTTTGCTCATTTTAAATATATTTTTAAACATTTTCTAAATGCTTTTTTATATTTTTACATTTTTTGTTTTTGTGAAGCGCCTCGTGATTTTTATCTTGAGAGGCGCTATAGAAATGATATTTTCTTCTTCTTCTTCTTCAAGATCAATCATCTTTGAGTTACACCATTTCTATTGATCTCACCTGAAGCAGGAACGTCTGATTGGACACGCCGCTGATTTTGGCCTTGCACCTTATTTTCACGCCAGACTCGGCCAAGTTTGGCTCGTTCAGTCCGAAGCTCACTTCTCCTTCATATTTGTAGTCATAGGTTTTCTTTGGATTCAGGGTCAGATCTAAGAGAAGTTTCAAATGTAAAAAAATACAAATAAAAATTATATATATATATAAATTTTTTTTAATGCTTTAAAAAAATGGGAAAAATTGTTACATTTCAAGAAAAAAAGAAACTTACCATAGTGTAAATTTTGACATGCTAAAAGATTAGACACAGAAAACATTCAAAGATGTGATTTCATTTAGTTTATGCACATTGTGAATAATTGAAAAAACACATTTCAGCAAGATGACAAAAGATGCACATGCACAAATGAAAGGTGTTTATTTGATAAAAATTTTATTTTTTGTATATTTTGAAACATTTAAATATTTCTTGCTTACTTTTTAATCTTACCAACTATCTATTCATTATTTTTACACTCTTTTTAAATCCTGCAATGAATTAAATTGCTAACTGTCTTTTAAATTCAAGATTTATATAAAATGGCATAAATACAAAGCATAACATGTCTGAGCTGATCTCAAAGATGGAATTCTGTGAATCAAATCATATGAGACTCACCGGCCAGAGCCACAAGGCAGCACAGAAGGACGCCCCGCATGGTGAAAGAGGAGTGGAGATGTCTTCATGTTTGTCCTTTATATAAGTGCAGGATTTCATCCTCTCACATTTTGGATTGATAGATGATCAGACATCTGTTCTAGACAAATGACTCTAATTAAACAAACGTTTGGACTTTGAGGGTAAGTCGTGTTGACCTGTGATTTTGTCAGAGTGACACGATCAACAGGTGAAAGATCACTCGTCTACTGCTGGCTGTGGTCCCTCTCTGTGTGACAATTTGTCATTTTAAAACTTTATTTAATCAATATGCTTCAGAAGAGACAAGAAATGCAACAGAAACATAGAAATGTGACAAAACACAGAAATTGTTTTTGAGGTGAGAATTACAGCAGGCCTTTTAAAACAAAAATTGTCTCAAACAAGGAAAAAACTTGTTTAAAAAATCAGGAACTATTGAAGAAAATAAAAACGACAAATGTTCATCAAACTGCATGACTTTTATTACACAGGAAATATTACATTTGACCAGATTTTTGTAATAAAAAAGAAATGATTTAGTGTTTGCTATCCAGATACTGTTATTTTCAACAGTAATGTCAAATGTAAAAAAAAGTTTGTTAGATGCAAACATAAAACTTTATCATTTCTCTGCTTCATTTAAATGTAATTTCTCTGCTTCATTTAAATGTAATTTCTAATCAGTCTAAATGAAGTAAACATGTTTATCTCTGTGAAACGAGGGAGTGAGCCCAGAGGGAACAAAATCCAGTCCCTCAGTGAAACCAGCCATGTGGAGAAAAGGAAGACGAGATGTTGTCTGGGAGTTCTTAGTCCAAAGCATTGGTCTGGCTGTCCCCTGACATCTAAAACACATTCCCCCTGGATACAGTAAATAAGTCTGTAAGAAAAACTGCCTCAGGTTAAAGAGCCTCACAATGATTCACATTAAAAAAAATAAAACATTCTGATTGGCAACCTGAAGCAACACAGTATGTTTTAATATTATTGTATTTAAAAATCACTCTTATGCGTCACTGTACACACACACACACACACACACACACACACACGCACGTGCGCACACACACACGCACACACACACACACACACACACACACACACACACACGTCTTGTCTCAATTTCTTTTTAATCCTTTCGTTCTTAGACAGCATAAACTGTTTCTGGATGCCTTTTGATATTTCCCCAGCAGAGGGCAGTGATGTCTTAGAGTTTTCCTTGCTATTCTGTGACAGAATAAAAATGTGTTGAATTTTTTGGGAACTCACGAGAGAGTGCAAGATGTTTGGTTCTGGTGAAGGTGTTTACTCTCAGTAGTAGCTGGTAAATATCCATGGGTGAAAGTAAAAGGGGATGAACAATTATACAGTATGAAAGAAATCCTCCTCTCAGTGCTCCACATCTTTATTTGAAATTCATTTTGGGTGCATGCATAAGCATATTATATTGCTTGGCAAACCCCACACTTTGCTTTCTGTGGGACCTTGTTGAAGCCAAATGTGCAGTTCCAGTCACCACCATCTTGGCCGTGTCACACATCTCGTCACGTCCAAACATTCCAAAAATGGGAAAAGGAGGTGAGAATAGGGCTGTGAGGGTGGGACCAAATGATTGACACCCATAAACTTAAAACCAACGTAGCTATGAGCTAACTGAGCTAACCCTTGAAGTTAACACAGAGCTTGGAGCTAACCATTGACTGTTAAAATATAAGCACAGCCTCAGACCACTGCGATTGAAGCCAGGCGCCTGGGCCGCATACGTGAGCTCCCGCTCCGCTCAGCTGCAGTGGTAATTCAAAGATACTTTATTAATCCCAGAGGGAAATTAGAGTTTCAGTACACACAATTCTGAGATCAGACATACATAGGCATAGACACATGACAAGACTTGGTGACTGTGGTCATTTGCAACCCGAGTTGCGCTACCTTAATAGAGATCAGGGTTTATATATGAGGACTGAGTCAGGTGGAGGAAAAAAAGGCACTTCAGAGTTACCCTCCACAGGGAGGGCAGCTTTGCTATGCAAAACACACCTCAGACAGAAATGCAACAGACTTCAGACATTACACAACATAAGTGTCCACTAGGTGGGGAGGTAGGGTTGGGAACTCTCCACACGTCAGTGCATGCAGCCGCAATGAGCAGCGCTCGTCACCTCCGTTTGGACAGGGGAAGGATGTATTTGGGTTAGAGAGCACAGTGACTCCTGGAAACGATTCAACGGCCTTCGCCGGTCGCTGTCCCGCCCAGGCTGGGATAGGGAGACAGAGTTACCATGGCGACGGCAGCATTCCACATTTCTTTTTAGGGGGAGTAATCTCTTCAGCCTCACAGGCTCAAGGGCACCAGATTCAGATAAGAACTTGTTTTGGGGCCAGACAGAGATAATTTTCTCTCTGTCTTAAAGTTCTGTTGATCTCCAACCCCTCTGAATCCAATAATGGCGTAGATTTATCTATCCCAATAAGAGATCAGCTAGAAATTAGCTACAAGCTAATCCGAAGCTACATGGACCTTTGGGACAATAGAGTTAGCTACGAACTTCCTTAGCAAACCCAGAGCTAACCCAAAGCCAACAGAGGTTTTGGGTATGTTTAGCAAGAAAAATGTGGTTGAGTGACTCAAAAAGGAAGCAGCATCTAGCAGCTGTCTGCATCCTGCATCTAGCAGATGTTCTTCCATTTTGATGTGCATGGAAAACCTTACCAGGGAGGTGTCCAGGAGGCATCCTAACTAGATGCCCGAGCCACATCAACTGGCTCTTCTGGATGGGGAGGAGCAGCAGGTCTACTCCGAGCCCCTCCCTGAGGTTACAGACTGGCTGCTAACTTTTTGAAACTCAACAATAGTAAGACTATCACGATCATCTTCAACCCAAAACATCCCTCTCACCCACTGAGTATTCCTTCACTTAATTATTTATCCATCAAAATGTGTGTTAGAGGCCTGGGGTTAAACTAGATGCTGACTTGACAATGTCACCTCAAATTATTGCTGCCATGAGATCATGCTTGAACCATCTCCGCCGCATAACATGACTGAGACCCATTCTAATTCGACCCCACCTAGAGTCAATCATCCATGCTTTCATTACATCACACTTGGACTATGCTAACTCCATCCTGACTGTGGCAAATGCCTCCTGCCTCAACCGACTGCAAAAATTCCAAAATGCAGCTTCTAGGTTAGGACTCTGATTCCTCACTGGAAGACATGTTGGTGGGTTTGAGGAGGTTTTCGAAGTACTCCACTCACCGATCCATGATGTCCTGAGTAGAGGTCAACAGCACACCATCCCCACTATAAAGAGTGGTGGTAGCGCACTGCTTTCCCCTTCTGAGGCGCCAGATGGTGGACCAGAATCTCCTTAAAGCTGTACCGAAGTCCGTGCTCCATGGTTCGACCAAAGTCCTCCCTTGCCCAGGTTTTTGCCTCTGTGACAGCCCAGGCCGCATTCCACTTGGCCTGCCGGTACCCATCAGCAGCCTCTGGAGTCCCACAGGCCAATAAGACCTGATAGGACTCTTTCTTCAGTTTGACCGCATCCCTAACTGTCAGTGTCCACCAGCGGGTTTGGGGATTGCCTACGTGACAGGCACTGATGGCCCTGCGACCACAGCTCTGGTCGACTACCTCGTCAATGGATGCACGGAACATGGCCCACTTGGACTCAGTGCCCCCTGCCTCACCCGGGACATTTTGGAAGTTCTGTCGGAGGTGGAAATTGAGACTGCACCAGATGTTCCCAGCAGACCCTCACAATATGTTTGGGCCTGCCAGGTCTAACCGGCATTCTCCACACCATAACAGCCAACTCATCACCAGGTAGTGGTCAGCTGACAGCTCCGCCCCTCTCTTTGCCCGAGCATCCAAGACATGCGGCCACAGATCAGACGAGATGACAGAAAAGTCAATAATTGAGCTGCGGCCTAAGGTATCCTGGCGCCAAGAGCACATAAGGACACCTTAATGACTGAACATGGTGTTCATTATGGACAATCCATGACGAGCACAGAAGTCCAATAACAAAACACCAGTCAAATTCAGATCAGAGGGGCCATTCCTCCCAACCACACCTCTCCAGTTCTCATTGTCATTGACCACGTGAGAGTTAAAGTCCCTCTGCTGAATGAAGGAGTCACCGGAAGGAGCGCTCTCCAGCACCTCCTCCAAGGACTCCAATGGGTAGTTTGAACTGTAGTTTGGTGCATAAGCACAGACAACATTCAGGGCCTGTCCCACCACATGTAGGCGGAGGGAGGCTACCCTCTCGTTCACTGGGGTAAACCCCAACATACAAGCACCAAGAAAAGGGGCAACTAGTATGTCCACTCCTGCTTGGCACCTCTCCGTTGGGGCAACTCATGAGTGGTAGAGTGTCCAGCCCCTCTCAAGGAAATTGGTTCCAGAGCCAGAGCCATGCGTCAAGGTGAGTCCGACTATATTTAGTCGGAAACTCTCAATTTCGTACAACTCAGGCTCCTTCCCCACGAGAGAGGCAAGGCAAGCCAGCTTTATTTATAGAGCAAATTTCAAACTGAGAGGGAATTCAATGTGCTTTACAATTATCAGGACATGATATGAAAGCAACATAAAAACACAAATTAAAATACACAAATGGAATTACAGTTTATAGCTAAAATAGAGAGGTGACTTCCCATGTGTCGAAAGCCAGCTTCTGTAGCCGAGGATCAGACCGCCAAGGTCCCCGCTGTTATGATTATTAGCCAACGAATAATTTGTAAGCTTTACTTACCTTTTTGGATTCATCAATAAATTCGTAAATATGGAAATATTTACCGATTTATTACGTAATTAAGAAATCCTTGGATGTCCTCGGCGCACCACCCCTTTAACAGGGGAACAATGAATCCACACCTCTTATCAATTTTGTCTAAACGTTCCGTGAAATCTTTAACGAGCTGCAGTTAATTTTGTATCAACACAAACAAACCCACTTGAGACAAATGCTTAATTGGCAATAACATTTATTAACTAATATACCCACTTCAGCTCCTCCCAAAGTGTTAAGCCAATCAACATCAACCAACTTATTTTATCAAATGAATAACAAGTGGTTAACAATGAGATGATAATGTGAAATGACAATCTGAGGTGATGTAACTCAAGATGGAGGTAGTTTTGAAACAAAATGGCTGGTCCCTTTGTCTGAGGGAGCAAGGACCTGACCGTGTATGTGGGATGTGTGTGTCTTCCCAAACACGGAAAACCAGAATGTGTGTGTGTGTGTGTGTGTGTGTGTGTGTGTGTGTGTGCGTGTGTGTGTGTGTGTGTGTGTGTGTGTGTGTGTGTGTGCGTGCGTGTGTGTGCGTGGGCAACTTTCACTTTAAACTTCCAAAGCAGTTCAATCACAGTAAAACTTAACTTTCAACAGTGATGTGGTAAGTTTCCATGCACAGTAACTTAAACAACTTCAAAACCGCTTCACAAAGATCAATAAACAAAACAAAAGATCAATCATAAATGAAATATCTAATAGTTTCTCAGCCTGGCCACAGCATAAAACTTAACCCTTTGATGCATAATGGTCACTACAGTGGACAGGTACTCAAAATTGTTATTTCTTTATTTTTGCTATTAAGCACAGCTGTTGAAGACTTTACTGCATGTGAGCCTCTCCATTTGGACTTCAGTAAGTCAAGCCAACATATTTCATGTTCAGAATGCACGTTGTACACTGAGATGGACATGTAATAAATTATTTGTAAATTAACAAAATGGTACAAAAAATATTTGTTGAAATTTGTTTCATTCACACCTAAAGATGAATGAAAAAAATTGTTTAAAAAATCATGGTTGAAGATTTCATAATTCATGCATCAGAGGGTTAAGATATTCGACAATGACAAAAACAAAACGGCTTACTCTTAAGATGATCCGATGGCGTGTTTTGGTACGGAAGAGAAAAAACGTCTTTTAATTTTGAAGCAATCACACGGTTGATCGCTTCTTCTGAACTTATTAGAGAAGCGGAAGAGAGAGAGAGAGAGAGAAAAAAACTTTGAACGAACGAACAGCGAGGCGTCCCTCAGTGTTCAATAAGCGTTCTCCGTTGCTTCCAGTAGCTCGGTGTTCCGTCCACTTCAGCAGCTAGGCCTCGTGTACATGCTGTCCGGAGTGGTAGCAGAACGGGTTCCTCTTCACGCCAGTTGAAACTGGGACAAAAGAGGAATAAGTTTCGTTCTTCGCTGGGATTTATAGCTTTTAGCGGGCAGGAACTTGTTTAGGTTCCGGGGTTTGGCGTCACTTCGGTGACGTCATCACGTTGCTTCCGGCTGCAGGGAATAATTGGAAATGAAGTTGTTGCTGGCGCTGATTTTTAATATGCCTTTTTATTCACGCTCCAGGGCGTTTTTGGCACAGTCTTTTGGAGAAATTACTGCATAGTAATTTCCTCATGAGGGCAGACCCTCAACACCGCCTTCAGCTACCACCCATCACACATTGCACCCAACCCCTTTGGCCCCTCCCACAAGTGGTGAGCCCATAGGAAGGGGGACCCACATTTCTTCTTGGGGCTGTGCCCGGCTGGACTCCATGGATGAAAACCCAGCCACCAGGCCCTCGCATCACCACGTGCCCCACCTCCAGGTCTGGCTCCAGAGGAGACCCTGGTGACATGCCTCCTTGTGAGGGAACACTGTTTCCATTTGTAATAATCATCATTACTGGCAAAAAATAAAACATCATTCATTTTCCACATGTGATATAATAGTGTTTATATAATTTAAAGTTATAAAAACATTTTTATTGTTTATTCTATTGTTTTATCATTATTTAAAGCATGGTCAGAGTTGCGAGATATTTGACATTTGTCTTTAAATAGCCATTACTATGATTCAGAATTATTTAACATAATAAAACTTTTAGAAAAACGTAAGTTATTCTCCCAGTTATTTTTAGGAGCAAACATTAGAAAAGATCCTCATTCATCTTTGAAGACACATTGTTTTGTGTAATGTCACTAATTTGCCACAGGAGGGCGACACATGACCTGCAGAAGTTTTGTTTAAATAAAAACAAATAGTTAATATGATTTAGATAGATAGATAGATAGATAGATAGATAGATAGATAGATAGATAGATGATAGATAGATAGATAGATAGATAGATAGATAGATAGATAGATAGATAGATAGATAGATAGATAGATAGATAGATAGATAGATAGATAGATAGATAGATAGATAGATAGATAGATAGATAGATGATAGATAGATAGATAGATGATAGATAGATAGATAGATAGATAGATAGATAGATAGATAGATAGATAGATAGATAGATAGATAGATAGATAGATAGATAGATAGATAGATAGATAGATAGATAGATAGATAGATAGATAGATGGATATTCACAGTTTGATCGACGTGCTGTATGTAACGCACCATCTATATAGCAGCATGGTTCTGCAAACAAACAGGTGAGACCACTGTGCAGGAGATCACATCGACTCACCGGCTCCTCGACAACCACAAATAAATAAAATAAATAGGTTTAGTCTCCACGCGTGCGTGGCTAGCTTTGGTGTCACTGTGTGGGATTTAGAAGGAGAAAAATCTCTTTATCAAGATTAACGCTGTGAGAAATTTGCCTGGGAATAGAAGCTGAAGGAAGATACTTAAAATATTTATTGCTGAATTCCTTTGAATAGAAGCTGCAAGTCATGACATCATGCTGCGGCCCAGAGGGAAACTGGGAAATACAAACATTATTTTATTTATCTGGAGCATGTAGATGAAGAGCAATAAGAACCATTAACAATTGTAGGTTTGATCCAGAAAATGAGCATTTCTCATTGTGTCCAGTATACGGTGCTGTTGACTCACTAAATCCTCTCTTTGCTTTTTCTGTTGAAGGCATTTTATTTGTTGGCCCAAAAGGGACATTAAAATTTTAATTACACAGACCATTTTAAAAGGAAGCAGCAGCAGAGCAAAATGCTGGCTGCATTTTATAATTTACAAATACATTTTAAACATGTAAAAAAATAAAATAAAAAAGGGAAACGAATTTAAATCTCATAAGGTGTGTGTAATAGATTGAATAGATTTGTATTTTTTATTGTACTAAAAGTCAATGATGTAAATGAAACAAAAACCTGAATATATTATTTGTCTTTTCAAAGGAAAACAAGATTTTTGGAAGCTTCAGATGCTACATTAACCAGACAAATGCACAAAATAAAGACTCCCAAAATGTTTTAAAAAAACAACAACAAATATTTAAAAAAGCAGGAGAGATGACTGAATAGGAAACAATAGATGGATTCATCGTAGGCATTCAAAACAACATGGTACGTTTTTGAAAAGTCTGTAATACTCCTCCTGGATCTGGAAATAGAAAGACAGAGAGAGGATAATACACACTTAATCTTTTTATATAGTTTCTTCGTATAGCACACATTTTTAACATGATTCTAACATTTATTTCCCAACTATAATGTACTGTATCTGGTTTCTGTGGTAAACAGTGGCTTGTTTTCTATCAATACCACAAAACCCCAACAATTGAAGAAATACGCCAGTGGATGAATGACTGATTACCTTTCTGGAGAGCACACACAGGAAGATGAAGATGAACATCCCCTGGAAAGCGTTGGTGATGGTGAACAGATAAGCCGTCAGGGTCGTCTCATGGAGAATGTGCAGAACTCCGAAGGTCCAGGTGGCGCCGAGCACGAACAATAAAGCCATGGCACCACGGGCGCAGGACCTGAGGGGTGGAAGACGGAGCAGGAGGCGGTTATAACTGACTCACCAACAGAGCTATTTTATTTGCTCAACAACACCAAAAAATAAATCTAATTTGTAATCTAGGCTGCACCGTAGCCTAATAATCCACCAGATGAGGAATTTACAAGTTGATTAAAATGTATTTTTCCCTGTTTTTGACCTACATAACAAGAGCAGACAGATAAGCCTACCTGATGTTTTCATAGTGGCTGATTTCAGGCTTCTTCACAGCAGTGTGCCGGTACACCTTGTAGATGATTACTCCAAAGGCCAAGAGATTAACCTTTAGTAGAAACAGAGGAAGGAATACACGGGTCTAATGAATATTCAGCATCTAAAATGAATGTTTTTAACATTTTTAGCACATTTCACAACCTATTCGTTTATTTTACCAGAATGATCAAACACGCAGGTCCAATGAAGCTCCAGATGAAGTGATTTTCTGTGCTCAGCCAACACCTGAAAAAGTTACTAAGCATCAAACCTCAGCCCCACTAGATTATTTTCATTAATCTAAGTGACAAAAGTAATTATTCTAAACCTATTTCAGGTTAAATGTAGCTTCTGTCAAACTGCTTTCATTAGAAGTGAGTCACCAATGCTGAATGAATTCCTAATGAAATCAAGCCTATTATCATTTATGGCTCTTACACTCTGTCGGTGCCGTAATACTTTGAGCCCAGAGTGGCTGAGATGGCCACAACCACAGCCGGGCTTCCGTAGCCAAAGATGTAAAAGTTGCGGTGCAGAAAGCCTTTGTTGTAGATGACACCAACCACTATTAGGTACAGATGGATGCCCTCGATGCACATCCAGGCAAAAGCTGCAAGGAAGAAATAGTGCAGCATTCCAGCGATCACAGAGCAGAACAGCTGCAAGAAAGAGCAAACAGAGAGAGCATTTACAACCGTTGCATGAAGAAAAAAGTTTGACATTTCCATCTATGAAACAATAAATTTTGCCTTGTTAGATGAAAGTAGAGTGAAAACAAGAGACCTTGTGTGTGGTCATGTTGATCCCCACGAGGAAGATAAACTCAGCCATGAAGAGGCTGCAGCACAGGTTCTTGTGAATGGTGGTTCTGGTGCTCTGGATCTCACTGAAGAACCAGAAGGTGAAGATGCACATGGACAAACAGATAAGGGAGATGATCATCCCCAGCTGGGTGATCCGGGTCAGGATGGTATTGTGTGCCACCAGCTGAGAAGCAAATGGAAAGGGAGGTGTTTCATTTACAGTTTCATGGTATGCTGGAGTTGTCATTTGTTGAATTTTCTGCTTGGAGTCACTTCATGTGACAGAGGTTCCCTCAGGAGGTCGGCTTGTAGACATACTGGGATTATACTGGCCCCAAAACTTTAGATGTGTACTTTGTACTTTGATTCTTTGTTGGGTTATGATTGGTTTTATCCTGATGTGTGTAATTTCAAAGATAAAAAAATAATCTTCAGGCCACAAAATCGTTTCTCAGTAAACTTTAAATCCATAAAAGTGAAATAGAACAATTTTGGATTTTAAAATACTATGGCATGTCCAGTATTATCAGCCTGTCATTATTATCGGCCAATATTGGTTTAAAATGTAATATTAGAAATGATTGGAATCCGTTTTTACTCTTTTAATGACACAACTTGTACTAACAAGCACAAATAACACATCAAACGCTTCAGCTACTTCTCTTCTCACTCAAAATATCCAAATTTGACAGATTTGAGGTAAAGTTTTTGAGATTGTTTTATTTGGCACAACTTGCTTGACTACAATTGTACTAGTTGACATATTTTGCATTGATATGTGTGATGTTAATCATCTAAGATTATTTAGTTGCTTTTTTATGAGGAGTGAACCCCAAATATAATTGTTTATATCACAACTGGACTAGTGAGTGTGAGAGCCACTGTCCAGGACGAAACATCAAAGATCCATAAGTACATTGAGGATAAGACCCCAGCAGATAACACGCTCAGTGAATGTCTCAGACAATGGTGAACAGAGGAGGAGATGCTGGAAATACCATAGTGGGAGAACAAGCCCATGGGATGTACCACCTAGAGATAACTGAAGTGATTGATGTCAAGAAATCCTACCCATATCTAGAAAGAGCTGGTCTGAAGGACAGCACAGAGGCACTCATCATGGCTGCACAGGAACAGGCCCTGAAAGCCAGAGCAACAGAGGCCAAGATCTACCACACCAGACAAGACCCAAGGTGTAGACCCCTGAGACAATCCACCACACCTGCAGGGTGTAAGATGCTGGCAGGGAAAACTTACATGGAAGACCACAACAGAGTGGCTGGAAGTGTACAGAAACATCTGTGCAGAGTATGGACTGGAAGCTCCAAGATCAAAGTGGGAAACAACCCCTAAGGTGATTGAGAGTGACAGAGCCAAGCTCCTGCAGGACTTCCAGATCCAGACAGACAAAATGGCGATGGCGAACCAACAAACAACAGAGGACAGCTACTGTGGTTGATGTGGCAGTACCCAGTGATGCAACATCAGGAAAAATTAACATGAGAAACTGGAGAAGTACCAGGGCCTCAAAGAAGAACTTGAGAAAGCCTGGAGAGTGAAGACATCGGTGGTGCCATGGCCATCGAGGGTGGGCTATCCCAGTCTTTCCAGCATGTTTTAGTTGTTTCCCTTCTCCAACACACCAAATGTAATTGTTGAATCATCTACTGATCAATTAGTTTGAAACAGGGAAACAGCTAACTAGGACTTGGACTGCCTAGGCTTCCATAAATGTGAGCATGCTCTTTTATTATCATGGATGGATGTCTAACGCTAATGGCTAACAGTGAGCGGCATTCAATTGAAATTGCATGGGGCTCTAAGAGACAGGCCTAGCAAAAAAATAAAATAGATGTATTGCCTTCAATTTATCACAGTACTGTATAGGGTCACTTTTATGGATTTCTATGAAATCATACATAAGTCCTGAAAGAGGGAAACTCCGGATTTCTGCTTTAAGAAAGATATTTTGTCCTTATTTCAGGGGGAACATTTCCATTGTTTTATTTTAAACTGTGATCACTCACATTGGCTCTGCCTGATGACATGAGGATGGCAAAGTGTGTGAGGTGATTGCAGGAACAGGTGGTTGAGTTGCTGTTGCCGTGGAGCGTCCTGCAGCCGTAAGTGGACCAGCGACCCTGCAGACTACTGACGTCGTACTCCCAGAAGGCACACTTTGCCACATCAGTTTTGATGTCAATGGGCTTCGGGCAGGAGAGAAACAAAAGTGTTAAAACTCTGACTGTGCTGGCTCCTTATTAACAAGCACAGCATTGTTTGTTGCATGTTCTGCAGCTATTTTTAAAAAATAGTCGTGAGTTTAGATCAGAATGAAGAATACAGAAATTCCTCTTATTTTATGAGACCAACTAAATATATGATGAGTGTCATGAATAAATAAAACACTTATATAATATGTTTTTATGTTCATGTTCAGTTTGATTTATGCTTATTTACCCAGCTGGTGTAAACACTTTAAATATGAGCACATTACCATTTGGAACGGTTTAATTCCTGAAAAATCCATGTCGTGTTATGAAAATATTAAAGAGGTGGAAGCACGATGACATTGAAATTATTGATTGCAGGTCTTAAAAGGCAATTTACAGATAGTTTTCTCTGCATAATGTAGATCAACAATTTCTTTTTTAGTCTTAAACCTCAAGAGTCCCATAAAATTAATGATTTCATTTTTAAAAACATTTTAATTATCTTGAGAAGAAGGAGAGAACACCAGAACATTAACTTTTAGAGCCATTGATCTCATTACCTTCATTCCCATCATCTTTTTGTGGTTTTTATGATGAGTGGTGGCTGTGGAGTAAAATCAGTACATTTGATCAAATCTTGTCAAAAGGCAATAATGGTTCCTCCCCATCTGCGTTTGTCTAAATTTAATTTTAATGGAACCTGAGATGTATTATTTTAATGTCAGACTTGGAAGAAAGAAGTCAAGTCTTAAGAAAAAAAATAGAAAAATTTACTTTAAATAGATACATTTGTAAATATACCTCCACCCTAACAAAATAAGGAGGAAAAGTGTGATTTTCCTTTGTTTAGATTTTTAAAAAACAACACACCGTGGCAGTTTTTCATCTTAATGTGAAGTTTAATGGATGTTAAATCCAAAGTTCATCCAACAGGGAATTATCTGCCTATACTTAAATAAGATGTAATAAAATTGCACACACACACACACACACACACACACACACACACACACACACACACACACACACACACACACACACACACACACACACACACACACACACACACACACACACACATACATTTATACTTTTATTTTTCATTTTCTGTGGTTGGTTTCTTGGCACCTTTGAATTGCACATGTCAGTATTTCTTTCTAGGTCCCTTGCTTCTGTTTTAAATCTTTTAATGATCTTTTTTGTTTAGTGTTTTTGAACTTTCTTTATTTCTGTCCTTAATTTTTTGTTCTTTGTTGTTTTACAGTTAAACTTTAATGTAGTTGGTATTTATTTATGCATTTTGTGCTCTTTCAGTACAGAAGATTATTTCCAGTGAAAGAAAAAAAGAGAATTTTGACTTAAATCTCAAAATTCTGACTTTTGTTTCAGAATTTCGAGATAGAAATATATATATATATTTGTTTTTCTTCATTTCAGTGGCCCTAATCATCTTCTGTACTTTAAGGACAATTTTGTCTCTTATTTTTTATTTAAGGAGGTTTGCGCTTCTTTTTTTTTTTTTTTTTTGATGTTTCCACCTTTTTATTGTTTTATGTCTTCTGTCGTCAGCTTGTTTCAATCTTCCAACTTTTTCAGATGAAACTCAAGCAGGACCTCCTGGTGCCACCACCCAGATTGCCCTCCTGCAGGCCCTTTTGGAAATCCACTCAGACTTTTTGATGTTTGCATTTAATGTTTTACTTGAAAAGGTGTTCTTTACCGGTGTGAGCTGATTCTGTCCTAAACTGCTTGATTTTGATTAGAAGAACTCTCATGAGATCTTGTGTCCGTAACTTCTTACATTTAAACATATGATAATCTTTATGTGAAAAGAAAATCCTGTCTGGCCATTTTTTATAATTCAAAACAACAACATATCCCAAAAGACTGGAGAAGAAGCAGGAAATAATCTAAGCAGCATCAGCAGCCTTCTTTACCTCATTGTGTCTCAGAGTGAAGGTGACATGGTCAAGCTGGTAAATGTCAGCAGGTTTGACGGCTGCTGCTATGACTTGGGAGTTGACAGTGATTTCCCCTGTTCCTGCATACCGCGAGTAGTCGGTGACACCCGGGTCGCTGCTCGGCTTCAGGATGTCACTGATGCTGTCATATCGCACAAACACCACTGACACACTTCCTGATGGACAAAACAAGCAGAAAAACAGAGGGAGGAAGTGAAACTTACTGCACTGCTGGTAAAACTTTTAGTTAAGCTAAGGCTGGAAATAAACACACTCAGGTTTTATTAGCAGCGCGTCTCACAGGATGTAGAGGAAAGAGAGCAGTCAGGGAAAAATAAAAGAGGGGTCGAGGTGGCGACATGACCAAACGTTCTGTGTCTGTATAGCACCTTCTTAGGGTTCTACCACCCCCCCAAGGTGCTTCACATCACAATCAGTCATTCACCCATTCACATGCTGGATGAGCTATGATGTAGCCGCAGCTGCCCTGCGGCACACTGATAGAGGCAGGGCCTGCCAAACACTGGCGCCACCGGTCCCTCCGACCACCACCAGCAGGCAAGGTGGTTTAACAGCACCATTGTCATCCAGCAGGAGCTGGGATTGAACCTGCAACCTTCAGATTACTGGACAACCCATTCTTTTTTTTCTACACATAAAACTCTTTAGAATAAAATATTTCATTAAACACCTAAATATAAACATTTATTTCTATGTGAAGGTAAACCAGGCACATAAAATACTTAAAGCTCAAAGAAAATTCTGAATGGATTGACAAGCTAACAGCTAGTCTAATGACTATGGTATGTCCCTCAGACAAAGAGTTGTCAGCAATAAATAAGTTTATGCATATCAATCAGCTTCAGCTTTACAAATAAAACCTTTGATCTTATGGGCTCAAGTGCAGTAGATTAGATGAACCATGCCACCTAGTGGCTGGATGTGGAATTCCTCTTGTTAATTAGATGTTCCTGCATTGAAGTTATGGTAAACTAATTACCTTGTGATTATGCAGCATGCCAACAACCATTTCTAAAGGTTAGTTGACCAGCTGCTGCAGTTTAATTTCAACTTAATTCAAGTTTACCCCAAAATGGGCGTGGCTATCTGAAGAAGCAAGAAGGAACGTTGATCTAATTTGTTATTATTAGAGCCTGCTTCGATTGAACACATGTGTGAAACTATACTCACATGAAGCGTTTTTACATTTTTTTGTTTTCTAAAGATCTGAAGTATTCTCTCTTTCAAAGATCTTACCATTCTTGTTCACCAGAGTGGGCTTCTGTGATAGGTTTATACGATCTCCTCCCATAGAGACGGACAATTTGTCTTTTACACGTTGAGCATCAAGTGTGAAGAGTTTTAATTCTGTGGTTGGAAAAGAACATGTTAGTAATAATAAATCTACATTACTCACACTCAATCTAGAAACTTTGGAACATTTTCTTTTATTTTAAAGTAAACAGTCGTCTCACCCATCTCTGTCCCTTTGATTCTGATCTCTGTAGGACTTTTAACGTTATTTCCCAAAGCCAGAGCGCTCTCTTCCACAACGTGCAGCAGCTTGGTGATGGTGTGCTCACGAAGCTCTTCTTTCATTCTGCTCCAAGCCACCAGTTCGTCTTTCTCCACCAGATTGTTTACAGCTTTTACTAATTTCTGTTTGACAAGAGTTTTCACTCAGCATGGCACTTGCAGAACAACAACAACTATACTGCAATGTGCTTTTAATTAGCAGCGACTTCAACATGACGGATTTTTACAATTAATTTGATGAAATTAAACTTCAACAAAAAAATAAAGTTGGAATGCTAGGTAAATATTGCATTATAGATGATGTATTCATTTTTATTTATTTATTTTTTTTGCTACACACAAAAGCAGAAAAGTTGCTCGACTGTGTAGCACCAGTTGTTTTCTTAAATGAGTTCAAAGCATAACCGCTTTTCAGGCACAGCTCCAAATGTTGACTGAGGAACAACGACGGTAAACAAAGCCTACTGAAAGAGTGGAGTTGATGGCAGATGGTTTGACAGTGTAATCCGTCTCTGCAGCAGCCAGTGTTGATCCGGATCGACTCAAGGCCTCAACATATGCAATCACTTCCACTGAGGTGAGCTCACCAGACGTCTGCTCGGCAATTTCCTTCAGCCGACTCTGAGGCTCCGTCAGGTTGCCCATCTAAAGAGGATATGAGGGAAATAAAAACAATTGATTCTTGAATGATTTTTTGAAATTAATAGAAGTTTATAATAGTTTTAAAACGTTTGTAAAGATTGTTCAAATATTTTCATTCTTGTTGAATGCTGAGATGGAAATCCATCCATCCACTCAAGCGGGATTAACCCTCTCAGGCTCAAAATAAGTTTTGATAAAAGGACGAACAACTAAGTCCTTCAGGGGTACTTCTGAGTTAAAAATGCTCATGAAATACATATGTGGACTAACCAGGTAGGTACGTTTTAACGTTACAAATCTGCAACGCCTGCCTCCAGAGGGTTAAAGCTGTGTGTTGCAGCTGACCAAGTGCTGTACTTACAAGGCAAAAAAAATCATAAACCAGTGGTAGTCAAAGCTAGGCCAGTAAAAACAACAAGAATAGACAATAGACTGGACTGTAAAAATATAAAAGCAAGCCAAATAATACAAATATTAAAAGCAGGGTACAAAGCCCTGTTATTATGAAGGCCATAGAGAAAAGCGGGGAAGGGGTTGTGTCAAGGGCCAATGGCAATGCTAAAAAAAATTGTGTTTTTAAGTGTGATTTCAACTCGTTTAGTGACTGTGCTGTCCTGATGTGAAGGGTGTTCAATAGTTTGGAGGCTGCATGAGAAACAATTCGCTCTGGTAAGACTTTTTTGGCGCTATCGGAGTGTGCTGAGGTGTGAGTCTTAAGCTGCTCCCAATGAGGCGAAGAACCATTCAGTGGATTGCAGGTCAACGTTAGACTCTTGATTGTAACCCTGTACTGTACTGGAATCCAGTGTAAGCTGGTGAGGATGGGGGTAATGTGAATACTTGTAGTCAATACTTGTAAGGAACCTAGCAGCCTTAATTTGGACTTTTTGCAACCTATTAAGGCAAGAGGAATTTCCTGCAGTTAGAATGGGATTTGATTTTATGGTTGTGGCCAGCCAGCTTGTAACCTCAGTTAAGCAGTCTGTAAACGTTTTAATAGAATCGTGACTGTTAGGTGCAATGGAGAGTTGACAAATGTTAACATAAAGGTGATGATTAATCCCGTGCTTAGTCAGAATCGTCCCCTGAGGAAGCATATAGAAAATAGCAGTGGCCCAAGGATAGAGTCATGGGGAGCCCCCTGGGGTAGAAGAGAGGGCCAAATGAGAGGGTTTTGGTTCTAGACCCTGTAAAAGACAATCTTTTATTCCATCAGTGTGTCTTTTAATGTTGGCTTTCCACTAAACTCATTTTGCGATCGTATACTGTAAGTGTGTTTTAGTTTGAACACCAAGAATTTTGGGGCAATTTGCTTCAAACTGATGTAAAACAAGTAACTTCTTTAAATTATCTGATGCACAGGCACACCTATTTACAACCTCTCTGCTTTGACAAACACAAAAACAAATCCTCCAATTCAGAGTAGAAAGGAAACTTGTCTTGTTGAAATTCCCACTTAGATGCTTGTTTTCTCCTTGAGAATGCCAATAAATTGTGAGAAAAATATCAATATTTCATCAGAGGTTTTAAATAATTGCTAAAAAAAATGAAAAAAGTTAAACCTTTCTTCTAGTTTAAAAATCTTTCCACCAGTGATTGTAGCCAAATGTTTTCTGCATATTTTCATCTGAAGAATGCTCTATGGAATGCAACAATTTATCATCAACAAAAGAAAAGAGCGCGGGGCAGGAGAATCAACTCAGATGAGGTGAGTTTTGGCTTGGAGCGGGTGTTATTCACTGCTGTTTTATCAGGATCTCCTGCTGTCACAAATCAATACACAGTGTGCTTATTAGGATTAGCTTTCAGTGAACCAGATGAATGATGTGAAATTTTGGATTTTAACGTCAAATGACAATCTGTTCCTTCACTTTACCTGGTTACCCAGTTATCGTGGTTCTTTATTGGAATCAAACAGCAATGAGACAAAAAAGGGGAACAGAAACAGAATGGAAACAAGTAAAAAACACGATCTTGACTCTCAGTTTAGGAGAGCTGGTGATTCGGTGATCCACTGGCCTTCTAAACTTATTTAGACAAATTTGCAACTTGCTCATGCAGCAGAATGATAGCTGGGGAGCAGCAGGTTGAGTTACTGAATCTGAAACATTGCTGAGAAAAAAAAAACACAAGTTGTTGATTTTTAAAGGAGACATTTTACGACTTAAAAAAAGGGAAAAACTAGTGTGATGGTCTTTAAAAAACATGATTATGAGGTTCTTTCAATAAAATCCCTCTCACATGAAGCAATTACAGCAGTTTTTTTTCTCGGCTGTCTCAGTAGCTTCCAGAATGAGTCGTTTCAGGGCTCTGTCACTTTAAGAAAATAAGATGGAGCTGGCCACACCCACCCATTCTCCAATCAGGCTGCTATAAGCTGAGAAGCTGCCAGATACGGGAGGGGCTCTGAGTAGATGTCACAATCATCATAAACAGGAACTTTTTTGATATGGCTTTTTTTAGGCACATAACTGCCAAGATCAAATAGACAGAAAATAAGAAAAAGAAGAAGAAGAAGAAGAAGAAGAAGAAGAAGAAGAAGAAAAAGAAAAAGAAAAAGAAAAAGAAAAAGAAAAAGAAGAAGAAGAAGAAGAAACAATCTTTCATATAGCACCTCTCAAAATAAAAACCACGATGTGCTTCACAAGCACAAAAATAAAAAAGTTTCAATGATTACAACCAACACATTTTCACACCTGAAGCGGCTAAAAATGACGATGGGTGACCAAACGCTTGTTTGGGAGTCCCAACGCATTGGGAGGCCTCGCGCAGCGCCAGAGCATCAGTTTCTGAAGCCCGCGAGAAAACGCACATTTCACCAACATTTAACCTCTAACCTCTTGGTATTTAACCTTCCCCTCACCCCCATGCTAACCTTAACTCAGTTTCTCATTCTATATTTAACCATGTTTGAGACGAACAACACAACTAGAAACAAAGTTTTGCATGCACAAGTGGGTTAAGGTTAATTTGGGGATTTAGGGTAGGTTAAATAGCAAGAGGGTAAAAGGTCACAATTTAGTGAAATACCCATTTTACCGCGGGTGTCCCAATGCGTCGGAAACAAAAGCTTGGTCATCCATTGTCACTTTTAGCCGCTTCGTGTGTGAGAATGTGTTGTTTTAAAATATCATAAAAATGAGAAAAAAAAAGAAAAGACTGTGATTAAAGAAATGTAAGGAAAGGGAAATGGAAAATGAATTAGAAAGAGTCAATCAGTGAATCCCAGGAAGGGCGGAATTAGTAGAAAGACCTGGATAAGTACTGAAGGTTACACCAAAGGCAACCTGAACAGGTGAGTTTTCAGCTGCTTTTTAAAGAAGACCACAAATGAACCCCCATGTGTTTATAGAAGCAGTAGAGACCCACATGGTAGCACAGAATGATGCAAAAGGAGAATTTTTTTTCATAACATGCCCCCTTTAAAACCCTGTGATCAGTCAACTTTGTCACCTATGTGATGAAAATGTTCAAAATGATCAATACATTTTGAAAGGCCCGATTTGTGTGATGGTTCTGCCGTGACTTAAGTCTGGAACTCTGAGCCAGAAGATGGATGAGAAAAAAATAGTAAAAAAACATAATCTTACTTAAACACTTGCTGTGACAGTTAATGTAGAGTTATATTCAAAACTTTTGCACAGTCATGAATTTTGCACGACGTGTTTCTTGACACAAGTTTCTGTGGTTATTTACAGCTCAGATATCATCAGCAGCAGCAAACTGCAGCTCTTCTGCTGCATACCGCAGCCAAACTCAAACGGATTTTCTAAATATCTCAGCTGAAATAACCAAGTAACAGAAAATTCATGGTGAAATAAAAAAGTTTTAAGAATGAGGACTCTTGGCTGTGCTGGGACTATCGGTCCTGTCGAATGTAAACACTATATCTTTAAAGAGGTTGCTCAGATAGTAATAATTTATCATTGTTGCTTGGAAACACTTCAAACGGGCCTGAAAAGATAAGTACAAAAATATTTTTTATGCTCATGACTGATTTACTGATTTAAAACAAAACTCACATGCAGTCAAGAAAATCCAACCTACTCAGAATTTTAATAAGAAAACAATCTGTTTGTTTACACGCAGTAACGTTTTCTGATGCTGTGTTCTGCTGCACATACCGTACAGCTAAGGGCTGCACGTTTAGATTTGTATTGCTGTTCTCTCATCTCTCCAACAGGGGGCAGCTTAATCATGCACATTTTAACCATGTTCAGCAGGGAGATACTCACATATTCGAGCATTCTATTGACAGCCTGCGTCGTGCATCCCATGTTGTCATGGCAATATTTTTGAGGGTGTTCTGGAAAACAAGGATTACCAAAAGTATTTGGCTAATGCAAGCTGCGTAGAAAATGTTACTTAAAAAGCAAAAAAATGTCATAATTTATTGATGCTAAACATATCAGATCACCCACAAAACATTTAGGATGTCTGATGGCATGTGCATGAGTGAAAGGAAGTGAAAAAGACAGGGATGAAGGAGGCTGTGCCCTTGAGTGTGTGTTGGTGTTTCTACGTGTGCTCTTCAGTCCTCGTGCCGACCTTTACATCTTACGCCTCTCTCTGGATGAAAGTGCTTAGAGCCTGAAGTTGAGATGTAATCACGCTGACAGGTGCAGTAGAAGGACCCGTTTGTGTTATAGCAGTGCGAGTTAGGTCCACAGACCGATCCCGACTTGCATTCATCAATATCTGAAAGATCAAAACGAAAAAGGGAGTTAATGCTTTTTATCTGAAACCCCGCAATTTTACAGAAAAGTGTGTTTTTATAAAGGTTCTATTCCATATTACAGACATGTTCTTTGAAGACACAAGCTGCAATCTGCAGTTTTCACACATTCAAATATTCAGCTGCTAAATCTTCCACTGACACGTCTGACTGCAGGATGACTTCAGCCTACAGCTGTAGGATAGAGGTGCTGTTCTCCTGGTGCAAAATAAACAAAAGATCTCAGATGGTTTTTCTGAGTAGCAGATGGGAAGGAAGCAAAAGGTTGAAGGAGGAGGGAAGAATCACCTCCACCAGATTTATCTTCCTCCGTGCACTGAGGAAAAGAAATACACTTCACACATTTGCAGACCTGATGCCCTCACAGCTGCGTGGTAACTGCTCACACACACACACACACACACACACACACACACACACACACACACACACACACACGCACACGCACACACACACTCGTTTTTGATACCGAGGTCCTCGTTGACCACAGGTTGGTTTGAGTTTGTGTGCATTCATCGTTCCTGTCAGAGATTACCGGTGCATTCGGTGCCGTCGTTGGGCTGGAACCTGCTCAGTCCTGTCGATGTGTACCCAGAGACACACGTGCAGTAGTAGCTGCCCCGTGTGTTTGTGCACTGGCCCCTGTCGCCGCAGATATTAGTCACGTTAAGGCACTCGTTGTCATCTGTAGTGAGAAAATGGATAGAGGTGACTGGGTGAGTTAGAAAAATAAATAAATAAAAATCAAATAACAAGCACATTTTTTATGTCTGCCATATTGAAAACTTCATTTCAAACTTTTTGTGTAGAAAAACATTTTTTTTTAGTTTTCAATTACATAATCAGTTTGCCTTCCATAGTTCTGCTTTATTTCCCAAAGGAACTGTCATTTCTGTATGCCCCTCTTCTGCAATGTATTTTTTCTTTTTATCTACAACAAATTGCAAGTCAGTAGTAATAACAAAGCTTGCATGCAGTTTCATCAAAAGTGTTTTTTTCTTCTCATTAAAAAGGTGGTTGTGTAGTGACAGGAATGGGTTTTGCTCAACTGAGGAATCAAAATCTCAGCTCTGTTTCTTCAGCTGGAAACATATTTGTCTTTGACTGCTCAACAGTAATGCAAAGTGACTGGAGAAATAAGACGCGCTTGTTTTCTGACAACAAAGTGTGATCTTAATTCCTCAGTGGTTCACTTAAAGTACAGCAATAATGTGTTTGTGTTTCAGCAGAAAATAACATCACAAAGTATGAAGTGCAAATGGTCCACAGAGACTCAAACTCATATTAAAACTTGCAGAAATGTTTAGACGTCAGTTGTAAGATTATTTTAAAGTAACATTTTTCACACCTTAGAACGTCTTTTAATACAACCGTTGTTCTTATCTCTGAAAAATATTTTTGTTTTAAATCTGAGCACAATTGAACATAAATAAGACCTACTGTACATGGCGCCACAAAATTTGTCTTAACATTTCTTATAATTCAGATTCCCTTTGAACCTTTTTATTCTAATTTACATCAAAAATTTCAGTTTTTGCAGCCCAGGAAGTAAAGAGCAGCTTGCTGCTATAAGAAGTGCTGCTCCGCTACACACCTCCCTTCTCTGACCTAGGAAAACATTCCAGTGTTTTTTTCTGCTTGTCCAGTTATGATGAACACTCAGCTTTGTGCCTTTTGCACAGAAAGCTGGTCGTCAAAGGAAATCCTCTCCTCTGATGAGGGAGGTGACCACGTTCAGGGAGGAAAAGCACTTATGTCACTGACATATTTTGTAATTCACTCTAAATGTAATTTTCTTGTCGTGTTTAAACACCACATGGGTTATTTTCCATCATTTTTGTCCTTGACTTTCTTTGTTTCCAAGACTTATTGTGTAACTGCTCGAGTCGACTTGGATGACAGTTATTTAGTCAGAAATTTTGGCAGAGACGACCATATCTTTGTTTTAAATTTGTTCCCAGAGAGGAACTGAATCCAGGACTGCATGTTCCTGTTATAGAAATCACCCACTGCATTGCTATTATGACTTCGGTATTACTCACAGTTTCATTTCAGCCTTTGAAATACGTGGCCTGGGCAGTGATTGTGATCAGATTTGGACGGGGCACAGAAAAAAAAAGAGTTCGGGAAATGTAAACAGTCCAAAAAACTAACAGGAAGAATGATGTCGACCAAAGAGGCGGCGATTAATATCTTGTTTATAAAGCTGTGTTATTGAAATTATTCTCCTTCTAACACTGTTGTTTTATGTGTAATGAGCTGCTTTTAATAAAAATATCTGTTTGAAGTCTCAGGGCCACTCCTGGGAGACTAAAACACGACCTTCACAGTGAATAAAAACAGAAAATGTTGGATATTACTTTAAAAACATGATGTGTTCAGTCTGAAGGAAATATTCTAAATAACAAAACTCTAAAAACATGTGCAAGCTTATTTTCATTAAAATAATCTATTATAAAACAACATGAATTCATTCTTGTGAGAAATGTACTTTCATTACAATTGTCAGCACATACACAATTTCCACTGACATGACAGACAAAATACACCTGAAACCCAAATCCATGCAAATCCGACCCTGTAAACATGTTGATCTGTTAAAAACAACAAAGGCTTCCAAAGATAGCTTCCCATGCAGCAAAGCACAAGTCTTTTTCAGCTACTGCTTCATTTCATAAATCTGCATGTGAGTGGATCTGTGTGTCTGTATTCACCATTGCAAAAACTCGTCCCATCTCCTGTAAATCCATGGTTACAGAAGCAGGCGTTGTTTGATCCATTCAGGGCTTTACATGTTGCATCTGAGTGACAGGAATCACAAATATCAGAGAGGCTGCCTGTGTCCATCAGACTCCAGAGCCAAGCTGCAAAAGGAAAACATGAAGAAATGAGGAGAAATGCTCCGACGCTTAGCTGACAGTCATTAGGTTTGACACAGATCGGGCTAAAACTCAATGGAATATGTTCTTAAGACATAGTCAGAAATCTCAATTTCCAGTTCACATCCATCCCAAATTCTTTGATAATAAACTATAAATGTGCTATAAAATTGGTGATGCCAGAACAAAATCAAGCTGACATACCTGTTAAAAGTACAAGCTTCATTGGTGACTTGAGCAAAGGCTCCATGCTTTCCTCAGGTCTGGATTCTGCTTTCAGCTCCGACTGCAGTGGGCTGGCGGGTGACGTCGACCATTTCCTTGCATCAGTTTTCCTGTTTCCTTAAACCTGGCCCTTCCTGTCCTGATCTTTAATCTGCTTTCAAAAACACGCAGGCTGACCCCTTGACGAGCCACCTAGCCACTTGCACTCATCTTCCAGCTGTATTTCACACATCGTACACAGAGAAATAAGAGAGAGAAAAGTGTCGGCAGCAGTTTGTAGCTTTTGTTGTGAGAGTCGTCGACAGAGTGATTTGTGTTGCCATTTTAGTACCTTCCAAGGCATTGTTCTCCCTCGAACACATGCAGAAGGCTACGTAAACACAGGCCTAAACAACACCGGCTGGGTTCACTGAAGGACGACCCCCTCCCTTCCGCAAAAGAAACGGTTTACAAACTCACACACGCACACATTCCAGCATCTTTCAGTGACCAGCTCGAGGTTCGCCGGACGAACGTCTCTGAATCCTTCGAAGGAACACACCTCTGAAGTTGCCTTCTGTGCAGACTCTTTTCACAGATTTAACGTTGAAGCTTTTGAGTCGTCCCCCCATTTGCATTAAAACACTGATCCGTTAAAGATCTGGTGTTCCACTTAGAAAAAGTTGAACTTGAAGTTAGCTGTTCTGTTTTTGAACTTGCAGCCCTGAAACATAATTTGTGCCTGAGACCGTGGCCATGGTAATTGTGCCATTGTATAAAAAGGTCCATATAAACAGGACTTTTGAGGCCCTTTGTGCATTCAGAGTGTGGCTTTTGAAGATAAGTGATAAAGCATCTATTTTTGGTTCTTTGACATCTGTCATGGGCTAATGACCCTTTTCTCTGTGAAGAAAATGAGCGTCGCTCTTTGCCATGGTTCTGACCCATAAAAACAAAGTTTGCTTTTTTCTCTCTCCTCACCAAAAAGCCACTGCTACTCATTTCAAAGAGCAGACATTTACAGCATCTCGCCGTCCCCAGTCCACCTAGTACTTCCAATTGCTGTTTTAGGGTGGAACCCAACTGGTGTGACAGATACAAAAAACAGGTGAATGTGATAAAGTGACAGCAGTCAAATGGGGAAAAAGTAGCCATTCAGGTGTAGCTGAGGTCTTTTCATACTCCCCTCTACTCTTTGGTATACAAACACATTCACTGATGAATAGTTTTACTTCAAAGATAAGTTCTTTGTTGACTGTATTGCAATCTGTAGAGGCGGTTTGAATTGCTTAGGCAAGGCGTTCAGTTTATTGCTGAGAAAGGCAGCTGCTTTGAATGACACCATTAGAATTGCTCTGCATTAGTGTCCTGGGAAAGTGCTGGGTGAAAACCACATCTGAATGTCTCGCTCTGACACTCTCCTGACGGTAAGGAAGGAAGTGATGCTGCCTAGAACAAACCTGGACTGATTGCACCCTTCCTCCTCCGCTTTTTTGTCTTGGGGGAGAAAAAAAAAGAAAAGAAAAAAATCTCTCATTTAGTACGACATTTGCAAAGCCTACAGGAGCTTGCTTGCTCCACAATGACATTGTAAGACACCTAACAGAAAAGATTGCTTCAAATGTGTGCAGGCAGCCTTGTGTAAATGTTTCCTCCCCTCCCTCATGGATATGGAAATTCTAATTCTACAGGTGCGGAATTTTGTGTGGGATTTTTTTGTGCCCGTGTTTAAGCAGAAGAAAAGTGTTGTTTATGCCATTCAGGCAATATTGAGATTTGCCCTACGGAGTGCAGCGAAGAATCTATTTTGACACTTTTCATACATATCTGCTCTGATGTTGGCCTTATGCTCAGACATGATAGGAGGACTGAACTCGCGGGCACAGATGGCAGCAACCTTCTCATAAGCAAGGAACTCCTGAATATTTCAGAGCACGAGGTTGGAGAGACAAACTATGCTTTCTGCTTGGGTTCACAGATGCCAGCTGCGGTCTGTGCGGAGAACTCAGTAACATTTACATTACAGTTGAACGTATCAGGGTCTACTTCATGTTAAGAGCATGCATTTGCTTAAAAACGGGATGATCCCAAAAATTGAAACGTCTTTGCAGGATTATACAGGAAATTCCATTTTTGTTCAAATTGAGACTTAGTCATTATTGCTTGTCAGCTTTTGGGGATCAATGTACTTTTCGAGGTGCGCCTCGACCGGAGCGGAGAAACAAGCGTCTGGTCTGAACTGAGGAGCAGCGAGCAGCGGTCGAATTTTGTGAGCGCTTCGCCTCCCGGCGCTTCGCGGCGCTTCAGAGGCCGGTGTGTCCCCGGCGTGACAGATGGACTCATTCCATGCAAAGACAGATAGTTTAAGCCTTTTTGTTAGAAATGTCATGAATATCGCTTACAGCTCATGAAAACCCCAAATTCAAAATCTCAGACAGTGTGAAAAGGTTCAATATTCTAGACTAAAAGTGTTACACTCTAGCCAACTATTTAATCCAAAAACACCTGCAAAGGGTTCTTGAGCCTAGATGGTCTTTCATTCTAAGTTGGATTATTTTTACATGGGTCTTACATGATACGTGCACATCTTGCTTCTGATTGGCTAACAGCAACACAACTCTTCTGCTGCCAACGTTCACTATTCTATCGTGGACAAAATATGCAACATTTATGTGTCATCTCCATGAATAACACAAGCCCAAATGCTAATGGTTAGCTTCTAGCTGAGACGTGATCTGCTCTCTTCAGCTCACAACACCAATACAGCATGTCACGGTCACAGCCAAGGTGGGTGAGGGTTGTTGTCTGTGTATTTATGATAGACGGAGCCTCCGTCACCTGTAGGTTTCTAAAGAGCTGAATTGAACACCATTGGACTGTTCCCACTACAGCCCCATTGACAGCATCACACTTCTTGTGACTTCTAGAAAAAAAAGGTTTTTTAAAATACTCTGTAAACATGTTTATTTCTTCTACGAAGAATGCTTTTTTAACATAGAGTCAAAGGGACGTTGATCCTATCTGGAGCCAGCCACTAGTGAATGAGGGGGAAACTACAATTTTTGTCACTCCCGTGTACGCTTCACTTTTGGCAGTCGGAGTTTTCCCATTGGTGAGGACATTAATGAAAATATCTTTGTTATGTAGAAGAGACTGGCATTTCTGCAGCTATTGCAGACTCCAGCTTGTGCAACTCAGACTGACCAATTGTTATTCAATAAGAACAAGTCATACAGTGTTTCAACGAATAAGACCTTTAATATTATTGGAAGTGATCAATGAAGCAAATATATCAATCTGATTATTGTCAATTTGTTTATGGTTCAAAGCACCAATGTGTAAAACACTTGACTCCTTAGTGCCACGCTGTTTGTTTATTTTTTTTATTTCAAACATTAAAAAATTTAAAATAAGAAGACAATCGGTTGCAAATATCCAGAGTAGAAATTGCAGTTACAGTTGCCCACACATTTCAAAATGACAATGTGTCATTGTGGCGGTGGTTGCACGGCTGCGGGAGAGAGGGAGTCACTGTAGCACTGACAGCTACTTTAGGGTCACACACAGCAAACACCACACATCAGCTTTCAAACGTCTGCAAGTTTTATTTACCGTTTCTGCTGCTCTGCTGCTTCCTGCAGTTAGCATCTTGCTCTGGGAATCGAGAGCCCTCTGTCAGTGTGCTGTGAAGACAAAGAAGTTGCCACCAAAAAAAAAAATCACAGACTAATACTTTGTTAGACCACCTTTAGCTTTGATTACAGCACACATTCTCTGTGTCACTGTTTCTATAAGCTTCTGCAATGTCATAAAATGTATTTCCATCCAGGGTTGCATTAATGTTTCATTATGATCTTGATGATGATGGTAGTGTCTGACCACTGCACAAAGCCTTCTCCAACACATCCCAAAGATTCTCAGTGCGGTTAAGGTCTGGACTTTGTGGTGAAAATGATGTCTGAAGGAAGAACCTGCGGCTATTTGGCCTCCGGGAGGGCGCAGAGGGTCAGCTGCCACTGTTGGAGTTTATAAGGAAGATGTTGCCGCGCTGGCTTGAGACCGACAGTTCGTTCATTATTGAGAGGGCTCACCGTACTCTAGCACCTCCAAAGCCAAACCAACACAGAGCTGTCCTTATCCGATTCCTGAACTTCCAAGATCGGGAGTTTGTTTTCCGCTTCACAAAACACGGTAACATCAAGCACTATGGAAACACACTCTTTTTTGCCCAGGATTTCTCAGCTGAGACCATCCAGCAGCGAACCGAGTTCAACGCCATCAGAAAGTTGTTCGCCGATAAAGGAATGTTCCGCAGGTTTCAATATAATCCATGCAAGACGAGGATCTTCCACGATTGAATACAACAATGTTATCTATTTTGGTCTAACTTTTATCTTTTCAAGAGGGATTCTGTAAGTCACAAAAAGGACACTGCCGTAGTTCTGATGTGCTAACACATGTGGGTTTGTTATGTTTATGTCTTTGCATATGGTGTGTGCGTGGTTGACGGACACCACTGTTGCTTTCGCTGGGTTGGGTGCTGATAGTTCAGCTATTCCCCTTAGTAGTGGAATAGCACAGCCCCTAGTTCACTATTCTGATTAAGGGAAGGGGGGGGGGGGGGGGACTTTAAGTGTTATGGGTCAATCCCAGTTTTTTTTTCATTTATTTATTTATTTATTTCTCTATTTTATTTTATTCAAAGTTTACTTGTTATTTTTGTTTACTCGACACCAGCATCACGTGTTGTTATCTTAATATTACAGAACAAAACTTCCAAGTATGGACCAACCATATACCCGCAATCTCTCCGACATAAAAGTTACTAGTTGGAATGTCAGGGGTCTCAGGAAATTAATCAAACTGAAAACTCTAAGCAGGATCAAGCAATTGAAATCAAAAATAGCTTTTCTTCAAGAAACACATTCGACAGACTGTGAACTAAAGTCTGTGAGAAACAGATGGCCTGGTCAGGTGATCCACGCATCATACAATAATTATGCGAGAGGTGTAATTATTTTGATTCATAGAAGCATACCATTCCAACTGACGAAAATAATAAAAGACCCTGCTGGTAGATATGTAATCACTCAGGGTACCATCCTTTCTTTTACTTTAAACTTGGTGAGTCTCTATGCCCCAAATGAAAATAAGCCCAAATTTCTTGAAGATCTGTTTCTCACTGTATCTGCTTTGCAGGGACTGTATATAATTGGAGGAGACTTTAACTGTACTCTCAATCCGAGTATAGATC